TGGCAACCCTGTTCATAAGAGCCACCTGCTGTCAGAGAGTGAGTCTCATTCAGACCTGCTGTTTTTGTTTCGTGCAGATGTTTTATGTAGCAAATAAATAAATAACACAAAGTCAGACAATTCTTTTTTTGTTTTAATCCTGAAATTAATCTAAATCAAATCAAAAACAACTGCCCGTGCAGATCGTGATTAAAATGCAGTGGTTGCCTCTAATTTCAAATGGCTAGATATTTTTGTTTGAAGCCAGTTTGTTTGTTATAAAGCAAATAGCCAATAAATAAATTTGCTTAAGTATCAGAATCAGCCAATTTGCTAGTTTAAAAAAAGAAAGAAAGAAAAGAAAATCTGAATTCTGAATCAGCTATGATCGGAGCATCACTAATTAAAATACCAAGTAAAAGGCCTCAAATTTGAAGTACAATCTGGGATGTCTTTTTCTATCAATTCTTCAATGGGTAGATCTTGTCTTTCATAAAAGCCGAGGTCAGGGATCTTGGGCCTAAAAAGGTTAGTGACCACTGCTGTAATGAATCCACTGAGGCACATTGTAGTAGAACCCATGTGCAGTTTTAATGAAGTCCAAACCATAAACAAATGTAAAATAAACAGTGACTAGACTTGGCATGAACAAACATGAACTTAAGCATGGACATAAACTCACCAACAGTGATAACACAAACAAAGCTAGACAATGGACAAAGAAACATGAGGGCTATATATATCAAACAATGGGATCACATGACACTCCTGTGAACAATAAAGACAATAAACCAATGAGAAAACAGAACAAAAAGCATGAATACAACCATTTATTCCATGCTTATCTTTCTTGAATGGGGTAATTCAATCGCTATGGCTGTGTTATTTGACCCAGAGGAAAGATACATACTTATGTAAAGGATCATTAGTCATCGGCCCCTGAAATTGTGAGGAGATTTTTTCTGGAGAACATGCTCTCCCTACCATCCCACTGAAAATAAAACACACAAGTTATCATCCCAAATTTGTAATTAATAATTTATAAATCTGTTATCAACAACAGAGAAGCTGTAAGGTCTACCTTTTCCACAAAATAAAAGCATTTGAAATGTTTGAAAGCAAAGCAGGTAAAACAGCCATGAGTATTAGTATTGATTGTTTGATAGATTTATTATTATTATTAAATATTTTAGTTTTTTTATTTTAGAGTAAAATAGTATTATTAATACAGTAATATGCTACTTTATTGGTTTATAATCCAATAGAAAATATTTTAATAATAATAATTAATAATGTGTCAATGTGGTTTGAGATAACTACTTTCTTAAACACACAGCCCTGCCTTTGGTCAGAGAAACGAACTTTATCAGATGTGAAAGAGAATGTGGTTGGATGAGGCAAATTTGTTTACATTTTCAACTGAGATTAATTGATTAAAGGGGTCATCGGATGCAAAATTCGAACATAAATGTATGTTGGAAGTGTGTGTACACATCCATCCTATAATTATAAAAATCCATCCAGTGTTTTTTTTTTTAAATCCCTATTTTAAAATCCCCTTTCTCAAACCAGGCTGTTCTGAGATTCCTGTCAGAATGACGTAGTTCTGTACAGGCCCCTCCCACGATAGTTGATTGACAGTAGTGTTTCAACACAGACTGGACTGGTGTCTTACCTTAGACCCACCCTAAGTGAGCTGTTATCAGTCCGCCATTGTGTTGACTCTGGTGCAGGGGAAGACAAGATGTCTTAAGCGATTGAGGTGCTTTATTGTTGGATGTAATAATGAATATAGCAATCGTCATTTACTCCCGACATCTGAGCTGCTGAAGATGAAAATCGCGGGAGCAAAACACATGTTGCGGGAGAAGGCGGCAATGGTCAGTGATTCAGCGGAACTGGGATTAAGAAAACACGCGAATCCCGGACATTTTGGGCAATTAAGAAATCCGGCCGGACGCATTTTTGTAGGTCCAAAAAGAGGACATGTCCGGGGAAAAGAGAACGTATGGTCACCCTAATTTATTGCTAATCGATGTATTCCTTTTAAAGTAGCATATAGAACATATTTTCTGCCTCATTCTGTAACAAGAAGCCTTGTCAGATCACAAAAGGAAGCATTTGACTGGTGTTGTGGAGTAAAAAGGTTATAATGTTCTCTTTTGTTGGACAACAGGTTTAGAAATGTGAATGCAAGGGAGGTTCAGCGGTACCGGGTTTCGGTACCCAACCCTAATTAACACTAGAACTGCCAGGGTTCGTTGTATACCTAAATTTTACCCACGCACATGACTACTGTTTTGATATGGCTACAAGAATATATTATTTTACTGTATTATGCCACTGTCTTCACAAAGAAGTCTCTAGAGTCATGAAATGATTATGTCTGGTCATAAACTATATTTTTGTCCTTTTGTTTTATGTTCAAGGCTTTTTTTATGTAGGCTACACTAATCACTTTTCATAATGGTCAATATAAGCTAAACAAGCCTGCACTGACAACGAGAATTAGAAGGAAGTAAATACATATTTGGGTTCTGAAAAATTATAATACAATGTCATCGTCATCAATATATTAAGATAACTAATGTTATTTAAATTACTAAAATAGCATATAGACAATAATGAGCAATAATAATTCACCACGCATAGGATGTATGATGCGATAACAAATTCAAGCGCACATCCTCACCTAATTAATTATTAATTTGTTTAGTTATGTCATTTATAATTTGAATAAGAGAACAACACCAATAAGCTTCGGGTAATAAAAAAAAGTTTTTTTTTTTACCTCATAGATCGGATTTTTTTTTCAGGAAACGGGCAGACTAGAATAAATAGCAAATAAACGATAGAAATGGCAAAACAAAAATTAAATAGCCTTATGAATCCAAAGTTTGAACATTTATGAGTAGGCTAAACCATCTAAATATATTATCTGGATTGCTGTCAGATGCTGAGTCCCAGGACGCATCACTTATTATCATTCAGTGCTTCTAATATCTCTTCGGCATCCATAAATTGCCTTCTTTTACTCATTGTGACTTTATTTATGAAACTGATAACCGCTAATTCAGTGAGTGAAAGGTGTTGCCTGTCAATGTGCAATGTTAAAACATAAGCGGTGCGAAAATACAGGCATTATATAGTTGGTAAATTTCACTTATAGGCGCTTATAGGTATAAATGTCACTTTTTTTTTTATCTGGTTTTATCTAAACAATTTTTACAACCAGGGGATTGTAAATTACACAATTTTGTTAAAAGTCAATGACTGGGAGACTTGAATGTTTTATTGAAAATCTGTTATGTACATTTGAAAAACAGCCACAGGTAAAATTTACCCCGTGGCGGTTCTAGTGTTAAAGAAATGGTTGAAAAGTATATTAAAGGGATGCCCATTTTCTCTGGGCGGGTCTAATTGGATGCCCATTTTCCACAAGTTGGTATGATTCTTAAGGGTCTTCATGAAATGTCTGTAATACTTTGGTTAAAATTCCTCAATGGTCTAGTAAAACAACACTCTTTTTAGCTTGTCAAAAACAGCTCTGTTCACAGCGACCCGTTTCAATGCATGTCTCTTTAAATGATAAAGAGCTCTGCTCACCTCGCCCCTATCTTCTGTTTTTTGTGTATTCGGTGGCGCGTTACCATCAAAAACAAAACTAATCCAATTTCCTCAGTGGTTCTGATGTCGGGAGAAAATGAAGACTCTTATATTCACTTTTACATCCAACTACAAAACACCTGCATTGCTTACGAGACATTGTTGTCAAATATTGTTGGAGAAAATGATGGACAGCGTACAACTGGCTGAGGTCGGGAATATGCTACTATGGGACAGTCTGTCAGCGGTCATGGGCTGGGCCTGAGCAGTATGATGTCATATTGCTCAGAAAATAAAAATGGCTTGATAATTGAGACTATTTAGGATTTTTGGGGATTAAAAAAAAGGAGTGAATTGATTTTCATCATTGTAGGGTGGTTGTGTCCACACACTGTTAAGGCACATTTATGCAAACACCATGTAAAAGTGAATTTTGCATTGCCTTGAATTTTGTGATCAGAATTTCAGTACAAAAGTACTGATTATTTCACATAAAACAGAAAATAAACCAGATATACATCTATACATCTCAACCAAACTCCTAGATCCCCTCCAACACATTTTGGCTGCGTTTGCACTTGGCATTAACATGCGATCACCATGATCAGATCGAATCATCAGTCAATCAGGACACGGCGCGTTTACACTTGGCAATATCAAGTGACTTCTCTATCTGGATGACCGATCGGATCTACAGTGGTGTGAAAAAGTGTTGGCCCCTTCCTGATTTGTCACAACACAGGGCCATGTAGTTTTGGATTTTGTTTTCCCTTAATAATAAAAACCTTCATTTAAAAACTGCATGTTGTGTTTACTTGTGTTATCTTTGACTAATATTTAAATTTGTTTGATGATCTGAAACATTAAAGTGTGACAAACATGCAAAAAAATAAGAAATCAGGAAGGGGGCCAACACTTTTTCACACCACTGTATATTTCCTGCGCAATATTTAAATAAGTCTTCTGAGAGTGAGGGGGTGGGGTTTTGCGTGACGTCAACCTGCGAATGCGGACACGATGGCTGGATTGCATTTACATTACACTGAGATCCGATCACAATGCGTCCTCGACTACCTCTGGACCAGGACATGCTGATCAGATAACATTCTGATCAGAATCGCATTTACACTTGTCTTTTCAATGTGTATGTGGACAACATCCAGATACAGATCGTATTTTAATGCCAAGTGTAAACGCAGCCTTTGTATGTCTCCTTAATCAAACACACCTGATTCAGAGCATCAGCTCATTAGCAGAGACTCCAAGACCTACATGCAAAATATGCAGTGTTTGGGGGGGCTCAGGAATATGGTTGAGAACCATTGCCCTGTTTAATGCATTTCTGATGTTAAAGGCTGATAATGTGATGAATGTCAGGAATCTGATCCTCTGTCTCCCTATGTTTTCCATTCCAGTATAAGTGCCAAAGTGCTCGAAGAAACTCCAGTGGCAATGACAATGATTGTGAGGTGAGACTTTGTGTCGACTCGTGACTGTCTACATGTTACTCTGCTCAGTTCTCAGTGTCATGAAAAATTAAGAAATTGCGATATTTAGATTAGATAAAGTAGTAAATGTAGTAGAAATTCCCTCTACGCACCTGATGCCCCACACACCTGAGGCAAAATCCCAAGCTAAAATTATCCATTGTGAGTGGGATGGCGTCCTGCCCAATATGGACATTATCACTTGGGAAAGTTTTTTACAAGTCCAATATTCGTAAAAATTAAAATTTTCCATCCTCATTTTTCACTTTTTGTGAAAAACACTCTCTCTTGCAGAAACTAAAGTAAACACTCACCCTTACACAATTGCAACAGTCCATTTCAGCGTGGTAATTGCTTTTGCTTGCTTATTTGCTTCATTTTCAGTAGCTAGTTTTAAAAGTACTATTGTTACTTGTATTACAAAAGACAATGTATGTACGTGGGTATGTACTGATTTTTTTAGCAACACTCAAACAATGATACGCTTGGTGTCTTGATAGCGTTAAACGCTTGTTTAACATTTATTACAAAAGTAGTTTTTGAACATTTTGATTTTACATTTCATCACCCCTTTTTAAAATGTAGTAATGACACATTTATGTGTTAACAAATGCATAAAAATAGCATGTTGCATGTTTTCTTCACTTCTTTGATAGGCACTCCCGTTTTTTCACTTCTTGTCTAGACTTCTAAATCATAGTTTTAGCTACTAAGACTAGCTGCAACATAAACATACAATTTTCATATTCCTTAACAACTTTCATTACCACTTTTCAAGAAAGTATAGATTTCAACCAAAGAAATGTCTGTAGTCAATATATATTTTTTAAGTTATGCTCAGATTTAAATATTTATATATATCGGCTCTTTGTGAAATGTATGGTAATTCATTGGTCAAAAGTTGTGGGAAGCCCTGTCTCATTCTGTTGAAGTACAATACTACATTTACAAAGTTCATGAGAGAGAGAAACATCTGTGTAAAACATGTAGAACAGATCATCTCAGTCAGAAGAATCTGAATCCATTACAAAATCCATCAGAATTGTTTGCAGTGATTCCATATTTGTGTTGTTACAGGAGGGAATGCGATCTAATGATTTCACCACAACTCTGACTGTTTTTGGCCTGAACCCCAGATCAGGTAGTGTTGTCCTTTCCCTTTCTCTCATCACAAGTTGTCTTTTTTCTTTCATCTTTGTGATGGTATTGCCAAGGCTTGGCAGCTTGGCAAAGCATTTTCTTTTCAGTGTAACTGAGCAATCAAAGTTGTATTGATGTGTTAGACAAAAACACTTTCAATTAAAGTCAGCTTTAAAGCTCTGAACTACAAAACAGTATTTTTTCCACAGACATCATATTTTGAGACTGTATTCAAATCTCATGATGTCTGTCATTTCAAAAATACTCTTCCTCACCTTTGTTTAATGGAAGTTTGGAGGTCAAGAACAATTTTTCTTTGGAAAGATATCGTCTTGAACTAGTTGTATTTATTTATCATTTCTTTTTTTCATGACATTGCAGTTCAGTGGAAAGCACAAGGAAGGCCAGTACTTCCTGTCTCACAGAAATACAATAAGAATTATGCTGCATACAACAGTAAAACCACTTGTTTTGCAATGTTATCATTCTCACAAATGCTTCCCGTTTTATCATTTATGTCAATTATTTGCAAGCAAGACGGGGGGATGGGGGCAAGAAGAGTCAGTGTTTTTTTTGTAAGTCTAATGTAATTTCATCCAGTAAATAATTGTCTGGCCTGAACAAAAAAAGAACCTGAACATAGTTTGACAAAAGAGTCTATATCGGAGTTTATTTACACTTTTTTTTTATTCCACATGAAAGTGTGTTAATGCACATTTTAACTAGGGCAACAACAAATTGAGGAAAAATATTGATTATGGAGCTATTCTAAAGTAAATTTCATTATTATTAATTAGTCAGAACTATTGTTGATCTATTGTTGAAGGGCAGCGATGGGAGACCTCAAATCTAATGAACAGAAAGAAGACACTTAGTGACCACATTTACGCCATGTAAAAATGTAAAGATTTCCCAGACTCAGAGATCAAACAGGTTAGTTTATTAGGGGAAGCTTGCAACGAAGAGGAACATGATAATGATGTTGACTATGTGTCTACTCCTCAGCGTTCTCTCGTGGAAATCGTCAAGACTTTAGCGCCACAGAACCAAGCTTCACCATGAGGAGAAAAATGGAGCACCTCAGAGAGGAGATGGAGCAGATCAGACTCTTGCAGCAGGTCAGAATTCCACCGTAACCCCTCTGGCGTATTTGCCAAAGTATAATGAAAAATGATTGATTCATATCTCTACGGTAAGCCAAGCGAAGCTAATTAAACACACAGATAAAACAGTTCTGTTTATCAGCATGTCATTAATGTTGTCAGAGTTCACGTGGGATAACAGTGCTTTCTTTCATCAATTTTCTATATTAGTTGCTCCATGTTTCTACTTGCCACTGGGAGCTCTTACCAACAGTGTTATTTCTACTTGTTGAGTCATGATGCCAGAAAGGGCACATATATTTCAGACAATAATTAGTACCATGTAATCATACAGGGCTGGAACAAAATTATGATGATTAGGCGTTGAAGTCACTATATATATGGATTGAAACCACCTTTCATGTGAGCTTCTCATGAGGAATGCTATTTGTATGGCACACTATTTGAGTTGCTGCCTGTGTAGAGCTTTCAGTTCGTTACTTACTGTAGAAGGTTCTGCTTCAGTTAGGATGCTGCCTTAGACGTGGACACGGCAAGGCAGATCATAAGTAAAACAAAACTGCATCTATAGGGTGTCTACAGACTAGTTTTCCATGTAAGAAGTGAATGGGAGATTCACTGATACTGAAGCTGTAGAGTGCTTGCCTTTCCTTGCTAATGATTTCCTATCATGTCCAATTTCATAACCTCCACCTCAGCTCTATGTTGTCCTTGGTGCTGAAGGGCCACCCATGTGATAGCCGGAATGACTGAAAAGAGCACAGACGTCTTATCTTGACATTTAGCAAATGGATGATTCTTGGTTCACATGATATACTTGTCCTTTATTTAGAATCAAATGAAGTGAACTGAGTGTTTATGTGTTTGCAGAACCTCGAGTCTAGGCTAAAGGTTTTGTTGCCAGACGATGTGGGTGCTGCTTTGATGGATGGTGTTGTTTTATGCCATCTGGCTAATCACATTCGTCCTCGTTCCGTAGCTAGCATTCATGTACCTTCCCCTGCGGTGGTAAGTTTCACTGAATGTTTCATACAGACCTTCTTGGATCTCCTTTTAAATGAAATCATATTTTCTGCACTTTAATTGACATTCATTAGTAAATATTCAGCATTCGAAACTAGCACATAAATTGCTTGTTGTTTCATGGTTCTGTTTGATGTGACACTTTCTGTCCACAATCCCTCGACCAGCCAAAGCTGAGTATGGCCAAGTGTCGGCGGAATGTTGAGAATTTCTTGGATGCATGTAAAAAGCTTGGAGTGCCACAGGTAGGACCGAGTGTTTCTTCCTTTTACAAATGCTATATCAGTTTTCAGCTTGTATCTGCTTTTTAAAATCAGTATCAAATTCATATTTTACAATTACAACATCATCTAGCTTTTACTTAAAGAAATATTGATAGTTTATAAGATTTAACCCTGCAAGATTTAACATTTTCTCTTGAAAATCAATTGACTGCATTTAAGAGAGTTGCTGTGTATTTATGCATAAAAATGTTAAGATGAAAATGTATCCATTCATTATCCATACATGTTCAAAGGTCAGTAGGATTTTGTTAAGAAATTTATATTTTTTATTCAGAAAGGATGCATTAATTGATCAAGTAAGAGTAAAGGCATTTATAATGTTATAAAATACCTAACGCCTAAAAAATGAATCATGGTTTCAACAAAAATATTAAGCAGCACAACTGTTTTCAACATTTGTAATAATAGTAAATGTTTCTTGAGCAGCAAATCAGCATATTAGAATGATTTCTGAAGGATCATGTAGCACTGAAGACTGGAGTAATGACTAATATATTTAAATATATTTTAAAATGCAATTTTTTTTTATTTTTACATTTACAATTACATTTTAAAATATATCTAAATAGAAAAGTTATTTGACATTGTAATAATATTTCACAATATTACTGTTTTACTGTATTACTTGTTTTTTGATCAAATACATGCAGCCTTGGTGAGCAGAAGAGACTTCTTTCAAAAATATTCATGAATATTACCCAGGGTGTCCGCGGGTCCTTAAAAAGTCTTAAAAAGTCTTAAATAACGATTTCCTAATATAAGACCTTAAAAAGTCTTCAAATATCTTAAATTCGGATTCGATGGGTCTTAAATATTTTTGTATAAATACCATTTATTACAGCACTGATATTTTGTTTTCTTTTTAATTGATACACATTAAATATTACATATATGTATGTAATAAAAAGTGTATTTCCATTACAGGTTTAGGTCTTAAATTTCATATAAGGTGGTATTAAAAAGGTCTTAAAAAGTCTTAAATTTAACTTGTTCAAGTCTGCAGAAACCCTGATTACCGACCCCAAACATTTGAACAGTAGTGTGTTATAATGCTGTAATGCCAAATTTATGTTTGTTTTACAGTCTTTTTAAAAAAAAAATTTAATGGGGTATCATAGATTTATGAAATCTGCCATTGATCTATATTTATGCTTACTGTACATTTACTTGTGTTTATGAACAGGACAAGTTGTGTTTGCCGCATCACATCCTGGAGGAGCGAGGTCTGGTAAAGGTTGGTGTCACTGTACAGACACTGCTGGATCTTCCATCATCAAAACCCAACCAACTTTCTACCATGTAGCATCGCTGGATCATGGGACGTCCACTAGCATCCCTTTATCCTGCCTTACCACCACATCCTCACTCCTCACTCTCAGTGCTGATCTTTGAACTACTATGGGGAAGTCATGACCCTTCACCCTTCACAACTGTGGTGAACAGGCCGGCTTCCCCCTACCTCTTATAAGCCTCTATGGAGGGCTCTAGACATTTTAAAGCTCCAGTATTGTGCCCTATATGAGGGAAAATGTCATTCTTAAAGCCACACATTTCATTCTGAGGGGAAATACCAGTTTCTATTCCACAGCTGGCAATGCTGTCTGTCCTCTCTTAATGCTGGACACCTCTGTCTCCTTTCTTTTGTATCTTCTTCTCATCTCTCATGTTCACTCTTCTCTTGGACCGGTGAGCCCCCAGCGGGTGTTGTTTCCTGTCTGTTTGAAGAAATAAGTGAGGCAGAGACATGTATTGATGTGCATCTAATAACCAGATCTGCACCGAGGACACCTGGAAAGGACAGACAAAGGTGTTGCCATAAAAATGGTCATTGCTGTCACAGCTGTTGATGTACTGCAGTCAGGTGAGTCATTGGCAGTGCATTAGAGAATATTCATATTTTTCTGCATGCCTGGAAGTTTTTAACAGTGAAGACACTGCTCACGTGCCTGCACAAGACAAATACTTTTTAGTGTTCTTTTACGTACATGCCAGCATTTGCCAAATGTTTGTTTTTCCTTGACTGTTTTTCTCACAGGTTTTATTTAGTGCTTTACTTCTCACAGCCTGCGTGTGCCAGGAATTCACAACAACATAAAGTTTCGCGAGTACCAGTGTAATTGCATTGTGCTAAATTTTTGTCTGTTGTGCAGGTCTTGGCAGGTATGTGAAGTTTCTGCACTAAAAATAGGCCAACTAAAAACATTTGCAAAACCCAATTATAATTACAGAGTAAGAACAGTCCTTTTCATTAAAAATGAAATATGTTAATTTTATTGAATGATTACATTTGTTCACATTTGTTTTAGTTTTTTTTTTATCTCTAATGTTAGAACAAAGAGTCTTTGATACTTGGAAAATTGAGTGAAGTTAAGTAAAGGGTTTGATGTGCAGCAGTTCATTCACCACAGTAAACTCTGAAGGTTTATAGAAATTTGAAAATAGGTACAAATAGTTTTGTTTTATCATGGAATTTATTTATTTACCTTTATGTACTTTTGTATGTTTTATTTATTTCTTTGAGTTCTATTGACTTAACCTCAAAATTCAGCAATACGGATTCTTGAGTGTTATATATTCATTTCCAAACATGGAAATTGGAGCAACCATCTTAACAGGTTGTAGCCCTGGAAGTTGCTTGCAGTCAATTTCTGTATGAACCCATCGTTTACATGCACATCAGAAAGCTGGTTATGTGAGGAAGTTATTTGTAGAAGATCAGATGCAAAATCAGCATTCACATTTACATGTCCTGTTTAGCATATAGACTGTACATGTGGTTTTACTTTAATAGACAATAGTCGGGGTAGCGCCATATTTAATTTTTGACAGGAGTGAAAACAAGGCTGTGAGGGATAGAAGTTCAATGGATTGTACTGTTGTTTAACGACTGTTCAGCTGATGAAAATTCTTGCTGATAAAAAGCTTTGTAAACAAACTCCATAAAAGAGCTTTAAACGTTTTAAGTTGTGAAAACTATGTAATCTAGGACAATTATACAGTGTACCATTGTAAAGACTGTAAGTCTGTCTCTCACAGCCTCATTTTTATCCACTTTAAATTCAATATGGCATCTAATCTGATTTACGGTAAATGTCCACTACAGCAGCAGAACTCCGCTCCAAACACTACAATGCCTCCATTTTGGGGTGTGTCTGTAGAAAGTATGTATGAACTGTTTATTTCAGTGCATGGCCAATTTAATCGTCATCATAAGTGTTTTTTGCTTGATCTTTGCACAAAATTTTTTTATTGATGCTCTTGGCCACTCTTAATGCTTTCTGCCAATCCCACAATTCATCAGGTGATCGTGAAGCTTTACTCCCATTGGAAAGAATTGAAATTGCTTGCTCTGCTCCGCACAAGTGGACAATGCATGTAAACGTGAATGCTGTTATGATGTCTTAAAGGGATAGTTCACCTAAAAATGAAAATTACCCCATCGCTTACTCACCCTCAAGCCATCCTAGGTGTATGTGACGTTCTTCTTTCAGACGAATACAAACGGAAAATTAAAAAATGTCCTGGCTCTTCCCAGCTTTATAATGGCAGTGAATGGTGGCCGAGATTTTGAAGCAAAATAAAGTTAATTCATCCATCATAAAAAGTGCTCCACACAGCTCCGGGGGTTAATAAAGGCCTTCTGAAGTGAAGCGATGCATTTGTGTAAAAAAAAATATCCGCCATTGCAGTGTATGACGGAGGATGCACAGGGGTCTCCAGACTTGGTCCTGGAGGGCCGGTGTCCTGCACACTAAAAAGCACATGTGAAATCTACAGTAATTTACTGTGTTTGTGCACAGGAATTTACTGTATACTAAATCACATTAGAATACTGTAGATTCAGTCAAAATTGCAATACTGTAAGAAGTACTGTGAGTGTCACAGTAACCAGCAATGTCTTGTAGAAAATCACAGTAACTTCCAAAGTATTGTAGAAAACACAATAACTAATTATGTAATGTAGAAAATCACAGTAATTACCAATGTACTTTAAAAAACACAATAACTAATTATGTAACGTAGAAAATCACAGTAATTACCAATGTATTGTAGAAAACACAATAAGCAATTATGTACTGTAGAAAATGACAGTAATCAACAATGTGCTGTAAAAAAAAAAATCACAGTAGCCTATTTATGTATATCCAGTTTTCACGAGAGAACGGTCGCGGCCATTTGTAACTTGAATGTGTTTGGATTCTGGTGTAATTCGCTTCCAGTTATTTTACCTGTACAAAAACAGCCCATTATACTGCTTTATACAAACTTTTAATTATTATCATACTTTTTTAACTTCAGTATCATAATCATAAATACACCCCCGAGAATGCGATTTCACCGTATTGCCATACACTATGGATTTCTGAAATGCCGCCACTGGGATAGAGAAGGAAAACACAGTACACTGGCAGCTGGGTTTCCAGCCAATGACTGCATTTAATTTGACCTCACTGTAATTCAATTACATTTTCAGTTTGAATAGAGAATACAGAAAACAAATGTATTCATAAAAAAAAAGTAAAAAAGATTACCAGAAGGTCATCAAGATTTTATTGTTTTCAACACATCTAGCAATAAGTGAAGAATGATTAATGAAGTTTGTTATAATGATGAGCTGTTAACTGTGACTGTTGATAAATGATTATTAATATTTAAATCATGCAACATGCATGATTTGTTTGATTTATCTATTTATTTATTTGGGCTGAATCAATATAACTAAACAGCAATGAAACCTGTTGGTTCTGCAGTCTGGTGGTTAGCACACTGACATGTGCAACTGTGTCTCTGGCGACCCGTGTTCGGTTCCTGGCTTGAGGTCCTTTGCTGATCAGATTCCCCTCTATCCACACCACACCAATTGCTACACTGTCCTGTGTAATAAGCACAAAAAAACTAAAAAATTGTACTTGCAAATTAGTGAGTTTTACTTTACAGTTACATGGTTGCTACTGTAAATAAAAACTGTGCAAATATTATGGTTATTTCTTCTACAGTAAAGCCTGTGTTATACTTTCCGCGTATGCGAGTCCTCTAGTGTCTACTATGGTATGCGTGACGTAAAAAATCGTCATCGGAGAGTGTGCACGGAGGCTCCGCGCGCTTCCCATTTTTTGTGACCGCGCGTACTCAGTAGGCTACAAAAGCACCAACTGCGCATGCGCAGGCTGTGTGAATAAGCCCGTTGCTACACGAACCTGTACAATATGTCGATAAAACAAGATAAAGACAGCCAGATGTGCAATAACTGTGGGCAACTGTTTGTTCACGTTTGTTTACTATTCAAGCCGATCTACTGCGCATGTATGGAGCAGACCATCAGTGTATGCTTTCGGTAGTATAAATACAAGTAGTCCGCATACACGGACAGCGCGGACGCGGACTACTTGTATTTATACTACCAAAAGCATACGCTGATGGTCCGGATTGCTCATGCGGAAAGTATAACACAGGCTTAAGTTACTTGACAATTACTGCTAGTTAATTACTGTAAATATTTTTTTACAGTAAGTTACTTGTCACTTGCTGCCAGGTAATTACTGTATTTTTATTTTATAGTAAGTTACTTGTCACTTGCTGCCAGTTAATTACTGTGAATTCCACAGTCAGTTTCTTACAGTGCAGAGTTTAGCTCCAATTTGCCTCAACACAGCTGCCTGGAAGTTTCTGCATGACTAGTAAAACCTTGATTAGCTGGTTCAGGTGTGTTTAATTAGGGTTGGCGCTAAACTCTGCAGGACACCGGCCCTCCAGGACCAACTTTGAACACCCCTGGCGTAGCGTAAGCTCCGGTGAAAAATGATAAACGGAGAAGCGCAGAGGAGAGAGCAAAACAAAACGCGTGCCACAAATTAGAAGTACAGAATGAGAATATGTAAATAAAATTTTTTTCCTACGCTGAAACAATACTAGATTCTAGCGGTACTAGCTTATTCTAACCAAAGCTTATTCT